GGTCATGATCCCAGGGTCCTGGGATCGAGCCCCGCATCTGGCTCCCTGCTCATCGAGGGGCCTGCTTCTCCCTCTCCTCTGCCCCTCCCCTGCCACCCGCTTGTGTGCTCTCTCTCTCTAATAAATAATAAATAAAAAAATTTTTTAAATGCCACATTTAACATTTAAAACAGACCAAATACCCTGGAGATGAATCCATAGGGATGCCCAGCCCATTCAGCATATTTCCTGCTTATTTCATGTCTGCTGGCATTAGCATGTCACAACAAAAGATGGAAGGTTGCTTGATGTCTGCAGTTGGAAAGGACAATAATCAGGGGTCATGTTTATGCTTCCACAGTTAAAACCGATCATTTATTTAACTAAGACTTACCACTTGCATGGAATCAATGAATACTCTCAATTTTAAGGAGGACATGTTACATTCCTTGAAATTCTATCTGATTCTTTTTAAAATCAGTTTAGTCTTTTAAAAAAATTGCTTTTTCAAAAAAAATTGCTTTTTCTGTTTGTGATCTCTGCTTTTTACGTACCTTAAACATGTTTTAGAATAATCTCTAGATGGTAATTTTGTTATCTGAGGTTTTTGGGGGAAGCGTCTGATATGACATTTACTGGGTCTACTGATGTTTCCCAATAGGATTTCTTCTATTGTTTTGCAATTTTGTAAGAACTCATCCTACACCAGTCTTTATCTTACTAGTCTTAACCAGTATGGTACTGGTGCAAAGATAGATGATAGACCAATGGAACAGAACAGAGTCTAGAAATAGACCCTGAATTATTTTTTTTCAAATTTATTTATTTGAGAGAGAGAAAGGGCAAGTGTGTGAGTGGTGGGGGGGAGGGGCTGAGGAAGAGAATCTCAAGCAGACTCTCTACTGAGCACAGAGCCCAATGTAGGGGGCTTAATCTCACCACCCGTGAGATCATGACCTGAGCTGAAACCAAGAGTCAGATGCTTAACCGACTGAGCCACCCAGGCAAACCTACGGTACCCAAATTATGAGAAACATGACAGTGCAGTAGAAAAGGTTGGTCCTGTGTCAATTGAATATCCATTTGAAACAAAATGAAGTTTGACCCCTGACTCATCATACAGAAAAAATAAATTCCAGATGGATTGTGATCTAAATATGAAATACAATAAAATATTTAAAAGAAAACATAGGAGAATGTCTCCAAGACCTTGTGCTAAGCAAAGATTTCTTAAAGAAGACATAAAAAGCACTAACTATAATGGAATAAACTGATAGACTGGTCTATATTGAATTAAAAACTTATGTTCATCAAAAGACAATGAAAAGCCAAGTACAGAATAGGAAAAAAAAAGAAGATATTTTTTGGATATATGTGGACTCAAGTCCAGAACACTTAAAGAACTCCTGTAAGTTAATAAGAAAAAGGCAGACAAGGGGCGCCTGGGTGGCTCAGTCGTTAAGCGTCTGCCTTCCGCTCAGGTCATGATCCCATCGTCCTGGGATCGAGCCCCGCATTGGGCTCCCTGTTCCGTGGGAAGCCTGTTCTCCCTCTCGCACTCCCCCTGCTTGTGTTCCCTCTCTCGCTGCGTCTCTCTCTGTCAAAAAAATAAATAAAATCTTAAAAAAAAAGAAAAGAAAAAGGCAAACAACCTTAAAAAAATAAATGGGCAAAAGACTTGTACAGGTTCTTTGCAAAAGAGGATATTCAAATTTCCAAGAAACATATGAAAAAGTGCTCAACTTCAATAGTGATCGGGAAAATGTAAATTATGAGCATAATACAATACTAGTATTCGCCCATGAGAAATGAAATGAAAAATGAAAAAGACAATACTGAGTTTTGGTGGAACTTTCATATACAGCTGGTGGAAATGTAAATTGGTACAACTACTTCGGAAAATTATTTGGCAGTATCTACTGAATTGTCAGCATCCTACAATTATGGTTAGGAGGAATGTAGGAACGTACCCTATGGCCAAGCAATTCCCTTCTTAGGTATATACAGAAAAGAAGTATGTTCAGATGCTAACAAAAAGGTAGGTATAACATGTTAACAGTAGCACTATTCATTATAAATCAAAAGTGAAAGCAACCCAAACGTCCATCTGCCGTAGAAAGGATAACAAATTGCAATATATTCATACACTGGACTCGTATACAGCAATGAGAGTGAGCGAATTACAACTTAATGCAAAAGCATAGATAAATCTTACAAACATAATGTGAAGCAAAAGAGCCAGACTCAGATGAGTACATACTGTGTGTTTTCATTATACAAAGTCCAAATAGGCAAAACCAATTTGATGCTGTTAGAAGGTAGGATTTCCCGTGAGGCGGTGGGCAGTGACTAAATGGGACATAAGGGAGGCTGTTGGAGTGCTGGCAAGAGAAGTCTGTTTCCTGGTGTAAACGCTACTTACATACGTGTGTTCATGCTGCTAAAATTAATCGAAGTATACAATTATGATTTGTGCATGTCATACTTTAAAAAAGATTACTAAAAAAAAAGTTAATTTAAAAAAGACACTCCATAACCAATTGAAAAGAGAAAAACAAAATTCAGTCCCCTGGGTTTAATAAGATAGATTCTTCATCCCCAGGTAGTCCTAGCATCAGCTTTAATTTACAACTCTGTTTTTAGTCCTTCCTATGTTTTTCCTCTTTGAGGATTTTTCTTACTTTCCTAAAACTCAGTTATATATTTAAATGAAAGTTGCTTTGTTTGTTTGTTTGTTTTTAAGTAGGTTGCATACCCAGTGTAGAGCCCAACATGGGGCTTGAGCCCATAACCCTGAGATCAAGCCCTGGGCTGAGATCAAGAGTCAGATGATCAACCGACTGAGCCACCCAGGTGCCCCTGCTTTGTTTTTGTTTTTGTTTTTTTAAATTGAGATATAATGGTCATATAACATTATATTAGCTTTAGGTGTACAACATAATTATTTGATACATGTTTGTACAGTTGACCCTGGAACAACGTGGGGGTTAGGAATGCCGACCCCCATGTGGTCGAAAATCCACCTGTAACCTTTGGCTCTCTCCAAACTTAACTATTAATAGCCTACTGTTGATGGAAGCCTTACTGATGAAGTAAACAGTTGATTGATACATGTTTTGTATGTTATATGTATTATATACCGTATTCTTACAAATAAAGTAAGCTATAACTATAAAGAACAAACTGATGGTTGCTAGAGGGGAGGTGGGTCGGAGGATGGATAGAATAGTCAGAGGGGAGTAAGAGGACACTTATGATGAGCACTGAGTAATGTATGGAATTGTTGAATCACCGTATTGTACACCTGAAACTAATATAACACTGTATGTTACCTACACTGAACTTAAGATTAAAAAAAGATGAAGTAAGCTAGAGAAAAGAAAATGTTATCGAGAAAATTGTAAGGAAGAGAAAATACATTATTGTACTATAAAAACATCTGTGTAAAAGTGGACCATGCAGTTCACAGCCATGTTGTTCAAGGGTCAACTGTCTTGTGAAATGATGGCCGCAAGAAGTTTAATTACCATCACCACACATAGTTACAATTTTTTTCCTTGTGATGTGAACTTTTAAGATCAACCCTCTTAGCAGAAAGTTATTATATCTTATCCATCTTTCAAAAGGTTTTTGAGCAGGAACACTTTTCAGGTTCTCTAGGACACAATATTGCCCAAACCCAGAAGTCTTTTATGAAAAGGTGTTTGACTTTAGTAATCATTGGGAAAATGCAAATTATAACCATAATACAACACTATTACACCCCCACTTGTTTGAATTTCCTTAGGCATTTTTACTTCTCAAGTGACTCTGTTCTAATTAAAGCAGGGATCTAGACTTAGTCAACCATGAGGCAAAGGACACCAGTGATTTAGAAAAGTCTTCGGGTGCCTGGGTGGCTCAGTCAGTTGGGTGTCTGACTCTTGATGTCGACTGGGGTCATGATCTCACAGGCCATGAGATGGATCTCCCTGTCTGGTTCTGCACTCAGTGGGGAGTCTGCTTGAGATCCTTTCCCTCTGCCTCTCCCCACCTCCCCCACTTGCACTCCCTCTCTCTCTCTCTCAAATAAATAAGTAAAAATTTTTTTTTAAAGTCTTAAGTTAACAAATGATTACTCGTATATCACTCTGGATTTACTGGGATTTTTTTTCCAGATTTATTGAGAAATAATTGACATAGAGCACTGTATAAGTTTAGGGCATGAAATATGACGGTTTGATTTACGTATCTTGTGAAATGATTGCCACAATAGGTTTAGCTAACATGCATCTTCTCATAGAGATACAATGTTTTAAAAAAACAATAAAGGAAAAAAGAATTTTTCCTTGTGACGAGAATTCTTAGGATTTACTCTCTTAACTTTCCACAGCCAAGTTAACTATTCATCATGTACACCACATCCCTAGTATTTCTTTATCTTATAACTGGAAGTTTGTACCTTTTGACCACTTTCCTCCAATTCCTACTCCCCCCACCTTCTAACTTTGGTAACAAGTCTGATCTCTTTTTCTATGAGTTTTGTTTGTTTGTTTCTTTGTTTTAGATTCCACATGTAAGTGTGATCATATAGTATTTGTCTTTCTCTGTCTGACTTAGATGTGTTAATTATCTTCCTTGTGCCTCGCTTCCTTATGAATTAGATGTACTAATTATTTTCCTTGTTGCACCAGGTAATCCCCCAGCCAGCAAGAAGATGAGGAGAGAGAAATGACAGGAGAGTGGAAATTCTGGTTTGAAAGAATTTGCTTTCTCTTTCCCTTAACGCTAGTTGTTTGAGAATGCTGGTTCTTATGGTTATTCTAGCGATTCATTTTTAAAACGTCTTTTTATAAAATGTGCTTAGTTGAAGCAACGAAATTTAACAGGCATTATTAGTTATCAGTGGGGGGAGATAGTTAGAAGAATAATTTTGATATAGTGATTTTTTTTTTGTTAGTTCACAAAGTGGGTTTTTTCTCCTGTCAAGTCTCTAATTAAAGTTTAAGTCAAATTGAAAAAAATGCACAAAAAAACCCAGCATGAATCGGATAGTTTTAGCCTTTCTGGTAGATTTCAGATACGAAGCAAAGGGAAGACATGATCCTATAGTCTAGGAGCTTGTTATTTGACTGGAGACTCAGGACTAACACACGTGCAGCAAACAGCAAAAATGTGGGATATAATTACCACCTATAACATGGGCCATAAGATGGAAGTCCCTTTAACTTCTTTCCTCTGCCTTTCCAAACATAGCTCTTCCCTTATTTTGTTTTTATTGTGCACGATATTTATTTCAATTTTTTTCCATTATATTTTCTAAGGGGTTATTTCTGAGATGTAGTAGTAAAACGGTTTTTATTTTGTAAATGGGTACTATTACTCTCTTGTTTCTGGTAGCTTTGATTTTCTTGGATTTTCTAGTTACACAATCTTATTATTTGCAAATATTGATAATATTACAAATAATAAAACCCTTCCCCCTCCCTGGCTTCTTCCCTCCCTTCCTTCCTTTCTATCTTTTTATTGGATAAAATTTGTTAACAACAATGATGAATAAGTGTGGTGATAGTGGGCCTTCTTGTCTTGACCCTGACTTCTACTGAAATCCTTCTGGTATTTTATCCTTATATTTTCTTATATTATACATCTGATTATTGCATCTGTCCCCATTTGTACTATTCTTTCTAGGAGCATCATTTATCCACTGACTTCTATATCTATCATGTGCTCTCTCATTGTTTTTCTCTTTTCCTTAGTATTCTGAGTGATTTCTTCTACAGTTTAACCGGTACTTTAGACGCTAATGATTTCCAAATCAAGAGACAAATTACTTCTGTCCTGAGTACTAACATCTGTATTTCTGTTGCCTTCTGGGTATTGTTACCCGATGGATACCGCAAGCTTGACATATTCAAAATTGAAATCCTTTCCCCACAAAAAAAGCTCCTCCTCCTGTGTGTCCTAAGCAGAAGTTGATGATTTACCAATCACCTGGTCATCTAAGGAAGAAAACTTAGTTTTGTCTCTTTCCTTTTCCTCCCCTCTCCTTCTTATATACCTTTGAAATGCAGGTGTTTTAATTAAATGAGGTCAAAAGGGTTGGAATAGCAAAATCAGACCATCTCATATGTAAGACGTTATGAATGATGTGAAATAAGATCCTCACATTTGTAGCACTAGGAAAAAATGCTATTAAAAAACACACACACATCGCAGCCCCTTCTACTTATAGGAAAGTTGCAAAATTGATTTTCAGTGTCCATAACACTATTGTCAAGGAAAACACTTTGATGGAACTTTTTGGCTGAGAAAGGCGCAGCCTCAATGTGCTAAACAAAGAGAGAGCTGAATATTTCTGGGAAGAAAGGAGTAAGATTTGAGTTTCTATAAAGAGTCATGTGAAAGAGATGGGGTGGGACCACCAGATGGAGATGTCCAGAGATGTGAAGAGGGGCTAGGGAGACAAGAGGGCCTAATAAGATAGCCGGTAAGCTAGAACCAAAGGAAAGAAAGTTTCTTTCTTTCTGAGAGATTCTCTGGAATGGGGCTGACCTGGGGACTCTAGGACAGTGATGTTCATTTTCAAGTTGTTTGTTGTGCTATGTTGTTGCCCTTCTATGACTCCCATAAATCCATAACAGCCTTGCATAAACGGTGTTGAAGGAAACTAGAGGTGTGGACCATAAAAAGAAACGAAGCTTTCCCTACATCACCCCTCCTCGAGGCCAATGTGGCCAATAGCAGCAGTGTGTGGAGGGAGGACGATTCAAGACTATTTTCTTGAAACAAAACCCCCTTCGGCAAGGATATCAGAAGACAATGACCTTTGAAAGGGGCCAGGCAGGCACTTAGGTTACGCTTACAGTCTAGAAAGGAGATCAACACAAGTAAAATCATGATACAAAGCACTATAGGGGTGCCTTGGTGGCTCAGTCATTAAGCGTCTGCCTTCGGCTCAGGTCATGATCCCAGGGTCCTGGGATTGAGCCCCACATCGGGGTCCCTGCTCAGCGGGAAGCCTGCTTCTCCCTCTCCCACTCCCCCTGCTTGTGTTCCCTCTCTCGCTGTGTCTCTCTCTGTCAAATAAATAAATA